CGGTTATCCCAAAGCACAATTTGGCCTGAATATGTACCACCAACAACAAGATTCGGATGAAATTTTGCAAACGTAGCAGACATCACAGCTGACTGTAAATAAGTAGGATTTTTATAATTAAAATTTAAATGAAAAAAATCTGACAAATTATAGAAATAAATGTATGCATCAAAGATACTTTCCTCTGTGTTGTCAGCTGTAGTGTAAGTTATAAAACAAGTCAATAACTTCATCAACATTTTCATTTTGCTTCCAAAATATAAAAATATATCTTTAGAATATTTTTTGCTTAAAAATCAAATGTAATAATTATTTACATAAATATGTTCAAGCAATTGATCAAAGCAAATAATTATTTCACTGATTATAAACTGACAGCAGCACAAATACTAGTTTTGATCAGGTATTTACTCAGGATTATGACAATATTAAAGATTTTTAACTTATGCAACCAGAAAAGACCTGCATGTTCTAATCTTATACTAAATCCACTTTAAAAATCTGCATCTGTTTCCTACTTCAACCATATGTTTCTACTTAAAATTATCTAGTTCCCACTCCTCAGGCAATGTATAAGTAATTCAGTAGGCCAACCATCTAATTCTATATTCAGCAAACAAGTTCCTGAAAAACTTCCTGTAGAAAGAACATTTTATAAAAGATTTCTTTTATATGATCAATCACAACAAAGGACTTTAGGTGCGATTAAACATTATAAGAGATGTTAGAAAAGCCACAAAAGGCAGATCATGCTGAACTAAGAAGTTTTCAGTTTTCTGTTAACATCTGTTTGCAAATATGGAGCAGTTTAGTAAATGCCAGTCCAATGAAATCATTATGTTGACAAGGAAAGAAAAAAGGCACTTGTCTAAATGCATTAATGAACCCTTAGACTTGGGGAAGACTATTAAAAGACCATCTCACCTGGCAGTGGAACACATACTCTGGGGTCGTTTTTTTGTATTTCATATTCCATACAAGGGCTACACCATCAGGTTCGTGAGGAGCATCTTCATTATTATTATAGGAAGCCACAAGTAACTCTGGATACTGTTTATAAGAATCAAGTGGAAAAGAAGGCCATGTGATCAAGAGTTATTTCATATTATGTGACTTTATCAGATTATTCTAAAAATACAAATGTCTAACAAACACTTCACCAAGATAAACAGCTCTAGAGTTATATTCATTGGGACAGCAGTACAATTTTGTATTAGGACAGTTAATTATTTAAAATTTTTTAACATGAAAATATTTTAAATTTTGTACAAAGTATTTGGTAAGCAACTGAAATAAAACCAAATTTGGCATGAAGTCCTGAATTTCAAAAGCAAATAATACTTCTAATTTGTTCCAAAATACATGAGGCAAAATGAGTATGTGGCAATACTAGAACCATCTTGTATTATTTTAAATGACACATTGATTTGATTATATAAAACTCTAATTGAAATAAAACTCTATACTAATTACAATAAAAATAGTTAATAGCAACTAAGTTTGTTATATTACCTGAGATGACCAATCCAAACAACTAACAACTCGATGCTTTGACCAACGTTCATCAAAAAATTGTCGATTTAATGATAGTTTAGCACCTGCTTGAATCTCTCTATAGAAAAAGATCAAATCACAAAAAAGATCGTTATAACTTTTATCACTTTTAATCTTAAAATAAATTAACAGTGCGGAAGCTATCATCCTAGCAGTCAAACATTACCCTTCTTTGTCTTCCAGATCTCTCCCACTGTAGTCAAAGAAGATGTTAATTTGCTCAGAAAGAGCTCTTTCTACAATTCTTGTAGAATGATCAAAGAAACTTAAAAATTCCTCTGAGTGTAAGATTTGTTGTTTCTCTTCTTCAGTCAGCTCATGAGGGGGAGCTGGAAAACAAATTTTTTTTTTGAAATATGACTTCTATCAGATAAATCACGTCAGCTGACTGTCATACTTTGAATCAAAGAATATCACATATTCTTAACTAGATTTACCTCTCTCACTTAGGGGCTTTTATTTATAAAACCGTAAAAGAAATTGCAAGATAAATTAACACAAATTTTAAGGTACCTTTACTATCATTTTCTTCATCTTTTTTAGAAGCTTTCTCTTCTTCAGGCTCAGCAGGTGGCTTAGGAGTCACCACATCATCTTCTTCCTCTTCATCTAAAAAAAGAACAATTAAATTATTTTTATGAAAATAGTTGGTAACTTTTAAGAAATAGTATTTCAGAAAGTATCACAACACTCTAGATAAAAGAAGAAGTATACCACATGATAAGACAGAACAAGTAAATAGATTTGCCAAAGTAACATCAGAGAAAATTAGATGAAACCTCTTGGTTTTATATAAACCTCTGTGGCACCTCATCAACAGTCATCCTAAATTCTGTGGCTACATAAGCAAGAATAAGATATATAAGCAAGTTGGATGAATTCTCCTGGAAGTCTCCAAAAGCTTGCAAGCATTTATCATTCTAGACAGAACAACGTGCAACTCCTGCATAGTTTTATATAGCATGCTGACACATTAATGCTGGAGAATGAAGAAAATCAAATGTCTAAAATAGCCCACAGAGCTGGCTGTTTACTTGTGATCTGAAACCATCAGTGTCTAAATGGGTCTTCATATGGCATAAAGACGGCTTACATTAACTCTCAGGTTGCTATTTGAAACGCAGATTTTAAAGATAATAGCTAGGAGACCACATTTTCAATTCTGTCATTTTAAATGCAAGTCTGCGTATCTACCATTGTATGATATGGCAATAAGCAGTTAAAATAATGTTTTCTTTAATTTTAATAAAAATATACATGGAGATCTACAATGTTTCTAACTTTTTAAAATTACTAAATCTCTTGCCTAGCCAAATGAAGTGACTTAAAATCATGTATTTAAAAATGTTATAGGAATATAACCCTACCTACCTACCTTCTTTTGCTACAAACCAAGATAAATTTTTATGATGAAGATGCTTATTTTTATTGCCTAACCACATGTTATCTGTCTACAAGGGATAGCAGCAGGCATCTGCTGCAGAGTGCATCTCAAGTAATAAGAGCCTATTCAGTAACAAGACTTTACTTGTTAGTAACAGTCATTCCCTTGACCCATATACAAAATTATCTAAAACACACACATATACAACATACACAAAAGAATGGTCAAGGATGGGAACCAGCTGCCAAGTCATGGTCCCAGCAGCCCGGCCAGCTGACTAGATAGCAACAACCAGATGGCACTGCTGGGATTGTGTCTTTCTGATACAAGGTGGCAATGGGATGGCATAACATTCTTCCGCTTGACTGCTTCCAATCCTGTGCCTTTCCCCAATGGCGAGCCTGTGCAATTACCCACACTCCAGGAGGCCTAGAGACAAGCCTTTACCCTGCAAACAAAATGCAGCTTGTAGGCCACACCAGCTGCCAACCCACACACAGTGTTAGGTTTAGAGAGCTATGAAAATCTTTCTAACTCTATAGTATAAGCAATAAAAATATCTGTACCCATGGAAAGAAAGCTTTAAATGACACTGTATAATGCACACAATGATACAACCTCCAACTTAATCAAAATGATAATGACGTATGCCAATCCTACATTACTTGAAATTGAGCGATTTTTACGTTCTGACAAGTTTACAGAACTAGGATAAATGGCACGAATGATTTCAATATATGCTCATACTTTGAACCAAATGGTGAAGGTTAAAATTTTTCCTTTCAAGGGCCTCAATCAGCCACAAAGGAAAACAGTAATCACTGTCTTTTCAGCCAGCCCAACCGCATTTGTCAGCCCTTTCTCCGTCAATGCAGCCAGAGCAATCAACCTGCCAAACATTCAGAATGGAAAAACAATCTGAAAATACAGGGTATAATGCACCTGCCAGTGAAAATGGCCATTTCAAGAAAAGCTAGTGATCTCAGTGACCCTGCTGAGGAGGCGGTGGTGCAAAGGGGAAAGAACACGTAAAAGAATTCTTAGTGATCGCCACTCTCTTGCACATTGACACTTCCTTACAAAGCATGCCAATTACAGCTTTTGTGCTACTTAAAAAAATGAAAGCTTTTTTGGGCAAAATAATCACATAGAGAAACAGAAAGACACTACTTCTTTCTAATAAATTCTCATATACAACGAATTATTAATCTGAAAACAGTATAACTGATGGCAATTCCATACCATATATATCAAATATTAGGATACAATTCTGCCACAAAGTTGTTTACAGGTGTAATGTAATAAAATAATTTAATTATATTTAACCTAAAAGATGACTTTCAGAATAGGACATTTACTTCAATTAAAAATTCAGTCTAAGGAAAAAATATACCCATACCTGTATTTCATTTTCTCCTAATACTATCTGTATTTCTAATCAATTTTGTTAACTAGTAGAGTTCACTAGTAGTGAGTCCTAAAGTCTAGACAGAGATTGAGTTACCATGGACAGGTCAATCCTAGGCACTGAATTACAAATTATAGCTTCTTACCCACATCTTAGCCTCCTCCTTCAACTTTGTTGTATTATATGGCTTCTAAGTACCATTTTCAATGACAGGTGTCAAATTCCTGTCATAATGCATATGGTCAGTGCTTTACTGCTGAGTGACCTAATAATCTACATATTTAACAGAAAAGATCTTGTTTATAGACACATCCTTTTAAAACTTAAAATGTAGACAAAGTATGTTAGTGATCAGTTATCTCCCTAGCATATAGCACTCACCATCTATCTATACACATCTATATAAATTGCTGCAATTGCCAGTCAGTGTGTATGCACTATTTAAACACATCTCCTCAGTGTATTTCAGAATCCATGTACATATCTTCCTTCTTATATGGATTAAAATTGAACTTAGAAATTGTAATTGCTACTCAAAACCCAAGCTTCAGAAATTATTAAGTAAATTTCCAGGAGCCTAAAAACAAATATGTCCTTCTTAAAAACTGAAAAGTGTAGTACTATTTGTTATAAAGCTGATATTAATCCTAGTACTCTGGAAGGGTGAGACTGGAGGAGTCCATGTTCAAGCCTGGCCTGGAAAAACGGTGACTAAGAATTTAAGAAAAAATTTTTTTAAAGGGCTGGAGATGTAGCTCAGTGTTAAGGCTCTGGGTTCAATTTCCAATATGAAAAAAAAAATGCTCTAAAATGAATATACTTGTCTTATCATAAACTAATACAACAGTTACTAAATGATTATTGCTATAGCTAAAAAATATAGTATTAATAGTTCTTAAAGATTTTCTAAGCTAGTCCCTGTTACATAATAAGCTATAATATATTTAAAACTGGAAAAGACTTAACAGTACAGGAAGACTGAAAAATGGGACTGCCATGTGACATCAATTTGCTAATGAATATTCATTACAATATACTAAGTGGTTAACTCCATGCTTTCTTTGACAGGGAATCTAAGCTTACAAACTGAGCAGTAAAGAGTGCAGAAAAGTAGCAGTTACTTTTGAAATGACAAATCTCTTGTTAATGAATTCTAAAACGAGGTTTAATGAACCATTGAATCTTTACTTAGAGTTAACATCAAAATTGTGATGTTTTTTGGTGAGACAGAAAGAAAAGCTGTTCTGTAAATTAGGCTGCACCTAGAAAGAACATCAACCAATGAAATTCTAGTTGTTGGAATAATCTGTTACAGTGGAGTAGTTTAATCGCAGTTAAATCATCTGTGAAATGGGTGGTTTTTTGTTAAACTCAAGGAATAAACAAGTTTTCTTATCTACATGTCGTATTACATTTAAGATATATGTAAATGTGATAGACACTAAGTTATTTTAAATAGCTTAAAAGGTAATATGAACTCAGCAGACTAAAGCACCTGCTTGGGCAGAACACAGTGGCCAGGGTTCGATCCCCTGCATGCTGTGCCAGCCCCACCCCCGGGGCGTGTTGAGTTGGCGAATGAGCGTTGTGGCATGTGCATGCAATCCCTGTGCTTGGAAGGCTGAAAACAGGAGTATGACTATGAGTGGGATCTAAGTAGTGAGACTCTGTAGACCCTGTACTAAATACATTTTAAAAAAAGGTAATATGAAAATAGATCTTAGAAAATCCTTACTAAACACATATTGCTACTTAATTTATCACTTATGATTCCCAATGTGAAATAGAAAACAAATCTCATATTAGTGCACAGTTTAGGAAATACATTTATTTGTTGGCTATCAATTAATTATGTAATTTTATTACACTGGTATATCCTTTAAAGATAATTCAGTATCTCATCAAGAATCCCTCATCAAGGGCTGGCCAGATAGCTCAGTGGATTAAACTGCCTGCTTAGGCAGATGCAGGGACTGGGGTTCCATCCCTGGTGTGCCATGCCAACCCCACCCCGCGGTGCGCTGAGACGGCAAATGAGACTGGGGGTGGTGGCCCACACCTGTGATCCCAGCATTTGGGAGGCTGAAAGCAGAAGGATCATTACAAGTCCGATCTATGATCTATGAAGTATCTATGTAGGATACTATGATCCCTATAGATCCTACAGATCTTGTACCAAATACATAAAAAACCAAAAAAAAAAAAAA